ATAGTTTAAATGGGAGAACATTGGTTTTACACCCATTGTTTCATTGCAATGATTACAGTCTCCTCTGTGCATCATCATTCAACAGTATGGTAACGTAGTGGTTACGAGTCGTCAGCAGTTCGAAACTACCAGCTGTTCCACGGGAGAAAGATGAGGCTCTCTGCTCCTGTAAAGATGTACAGCCTCGGAAACCCTATGCGGGGTTGCTATGAGTCGTAACTGATTCCACGGCACATCACCACCACCACCATTTGCATCTATTCCCTCTGTTTTATGTTTTGTTTTGTTTTCTGGTGGGCGGGGGGAGGATGGACACAAAAACACTCAGGAATATATAATCAATTAAACAATCAAAAGGCACATTTTGATTGTTTAATTGATTATTATCCTGCAAGCCTGCCTCCTTGCCATAAGCACACAGCCTTTCTCTTTCCATGAGTCCAGAGTCCTCAGCTGCTCCATTTTCCATGTCCTCTTCTCTGCCTCCATCTCTGGTGTCCTCTAGCAACACTTATTAAATGAAAGAAATCATGTAGACCTCATTGAATGCTTTCCTGGAAACCTGGTTGATATAGGCTGTGTTCTGCTGAGTTGGTTCTGATTCATAGCTCCCCTTTATAATTTCTGAGCCTATAAATCTTCACAGGACCATAAAACCTCATCTTTCTCCCATGGAGCATCTGGTAGTTTTGAACTGCTGACCTTCAGGTTACTAGTCCAATGTGTAACCCTCTGTCAACCAAGACTCCCCTGGGGATGTAGCAAGTAGATATACAATAATTTGTTGTTGTGCATGCTGTCAGTTGTGGTAAAGTTGGTTCTGACTCATGGCGACCCCATGTGCTCACAATAGAACTGTTTCATAGGGGTTTCAAGTATATGATCTTTCAAAAACAGACCACATGACGTTACCTGCTCCTTGGCTGTGGCTGTGTGCCATGCAGTCGGTTCCGACACATAGTGAGCCTGTACAGGGTTTCCGAGGCTGTAAATCTTTTTTTTTCTTAAATGTTTTATTGTGAATTATGTGATAGTTTACATGGGAGAACATAAGTTTTACGTTCATTCTATCGTATATCATCTCATTGCCATGGTTACAATCCCCTAAATTTCGGTATTCTTGTGTGTCTCCCCTCACTTCATATCAGCTGAATGCTTCACTCTCAGCTCTAGCCCCCTGTGTCCTTGTCTATGGGCTCAAGTGTCCCCAGGTCTCACCACACTTTGGACCAACCAGCCCTTCCTCTTCTCTCTTTCATCTCCAGGTCAACGGGAGTCAATGGACTGGGGTTGAACTCAGCCCATTTTTTCATTGTTGCCTTTCCTCCTCGTTCATGCACCAGTGGACCAATGTGGTTGCCAGCAAACTTACATGCTTGTATGTGTGTTCCCTTTGAATTTCAGTCTTAGAGGGGAGTTTGTCCTGAAGGAACTTGATTGCTTGCCTTGGCTTCCTGGTGAACAGCTTGCTTATTCTTGTAGTAGCCAGTCATGCTGACATTTTTGTTTTGGGTTTTCCCTGATGATCTTTCTTTGAAGATGTATCTTCTGTTGCTCTAGCGTTCCAGGCTGGTCTGCTTGTCCTTGCTAGTGGGAATGTCCCACCTCATAAGGTTCTGGATGGGACTCAGGATTCCACCTAAGGTCCTATACTCTGCAAAGGCTTTGCAAGCCTATTTCACTGTGCAAGTTCTAGAACCCCTTTTAGGTATTTCAATCAGTTATAGGCTTACCAATTTTCTGTAATCCTGTTTCCTAACATTCCTTTCTATCCCACTCAAGTGTCTATTTTACAATAGTAGGCAAGGGAAACCAATATTCATAAGACAGTCAAGCATTTTAGTATTATTTACCATTTTCAAACTATGCCTAGATCCCTGTATCACAGAGCCCTGTTGTTCCAAAGTTGAACATGCATCACTATTTACCTCTGTCCCACTTAGGCCATAAAAACCTGTTTCAGTGTTGCCCTGTCTATCTTGTTCTTCCACCTCCTCCCCATTCTTGTACTGCCCTTGCCATTCTTGATGTCATCCTACAACTCTTCTTGTTTTGTCATTAGTGTCTAATGTATCAAATCTTTTCTTGATCTGGTCTTTAAATTCAGGTGGGTTATATTGTAGACCATATTTAGACTCTCATGGACTTGTTTTAATTTTCTTCAGCTTCATCCTGAACTTACATGTGAGCAATTGATGGTCTATTCCACAGTCTGCCCCTGGCCTTGTTTTGACTGATGATATTGAGCGGCGACACCTACTTTTCCCAGAGATGTAGTCAGTGTGATTTCTGTGAACCATCTGGTGATATCCATATGTCAAGTTGTGCTTTATGTTGTTTAAGAAGTGTTTGCAATGAAGAAGTTCATCAGTCTTGCAAAATTCTGTCATGCGATCTCCAGCATTGTTTCTCTCACCAAGGCCATATTTTCCAACTATTGATCCTTCTTTTTTGTTTCCAGCATTTGCATTCCAATCACCAGTGATTATCAATACATCTTGATTGCATGTTTGATGAACTTCAGACGGAATAAGCTGGTAGAATTCTGCCACACTTTAGGAGGTTAGATGTCCAAATTTAGAGTGTTGGCTTAGGGTAAGGCTTTCTCTCTTTGTTGGCTCTGGAGAAAGATTCTTGTCTCCTGTCAGCATCTGTAAAGCCCTGCATTTCTTGGAGCTCTCCATGTGTCTCAACTTCAATTTTTCTTTGGATTTAACAGCTTCACAGTGCAGGGATCCCAAGTCTGAAGGACACACTTCACTCCTGGCTCTTCTTTCTGTGGTAGAAGGTCTCTCTGAGGATTGCTTGCTTGTTTAATTACTTGTATCTCTCAAAAGAGATTGACTCAAAGTACAATCTAATCCTGTAGATTGCATCTGGCCTCATTATCATCATAGAAGTGAGAATTTACAATAGGTAAAATAATTACATCAGATCAGGGCTGATCTTATCAGATCACATTATGGGAAGAGATTACATTGTATTAAATCTCATCATGAGCTTTATTATGTCTTCATTGCCCAACCAGTGAGAATCCAGACCCAAGCAAGTTAACACAAAACCTTAACTATCACAGTTTACAGGCATATATATGAACTATATCATTCCCACCTTGACCTTTTACTTATCAATATGACTTGAAAATTATTGCATAATAACATAAATCTCATTGATTGAAGCTACTAGATAATACCATGATTTGTCAGTCCCCTTAATGAGTTATTTAAGAAGAATATTACACATAGTGAGTATACAATAAATATTGATCGAAGAACATTTCAGAATAAGGTTGTACTATTTATTTGTCAATTCCTAGAAAATAAAGGATGATAGGACTTGATAAATAACTTCCTGCCCCAACCCAGGAGTCCTGGTGTGGCACTGTGGGATAAAGCACTGGACCGCAAGGTCAGTTTGAGCCACAAGGTTGGCGGTTCAAACTCACCAGCCACTCCTTGAAAATCCTGTACAGGGTTGGTATGAGTCAAAATCAACTCAACAACAACCCCATCCCAGGAAGAATGTCGTTTACTAGGCTTTGATGATGAACTCTTTAAATATACCAAAAAGCAGTTTGTGTTAGATTAAATGAGGTTTTATCCCAAATGTAAGAATTTAAATCAGAAAATATTTGAGCACTTGATTTATCTAAGACACTGTGCTGGCTAATGTTGGAATCAGTCCTGGTTTTATGAAGCTTAGAATCTAATATAGGAAGCGAGCATAACAGAGCAGTCTTGATATACTATTAGAGAAATCCA